AAGAGGGAACTAGAAATATAAGTGACAGCAGGGAGGATAAACCCAAAGGTCACTCTAACCCTCTCTCCTCTGGGACTTCCTCTCCCTCTAACTTCTCCAGTGAAGAGTGGAGGCCAAAAACTGCCTTTTGCTATATATATATATTTTTTAAGTCCCCAGTCCTGCCTGGGTGTGTTCCATAGTTTAGCTTTGCTTGACCTTTCAACCTTGGCTCCTACCTTCATTCCCAGCAATTTGTCCCTGTCCCAGGGGCAATTGCAGCATGGTGCTGGACGCTCCTCTGAGTGATCTCTAGTGGAGCCTTCCTGGCATGGTTCTATCCTTCCTCTGTGTGCATGGAAGGCCCCTTCTGTCTGCTCCCTGCCCCTCACCTAGGAACCTGTAAATGCTTTTCTAGTTTTGCTTCTGTTCAAATGTAGGCCCTCCTGCTGGGAGCTCCTTGGAGGTAAGGACTGTATTGTAGTCATCTCTATTTCTTCAGCAGAGAGGCTTGCACACAGTAGGTGCTCAGCAAAGTTTGCCCAATGAGGGCTGAATGTGGAAGAGCCTGTTCTGAGGTGGTGAGGCCTCCCGTGGCTTCATCAACCCTGAGCTGCACAGACCAGGGGACAGCAGGAAGGGTCTCTGCAGACACTTGCAGTTACATGCAAAAAACTAGAGAGAAGTCCCTTGGGTGCCTGGGGACACACCGTTTGTGTCTTTCAATGGATAAGTTTTAAATCTTGAGTCATACGAATCTTATTTCTCAGGGTTTCCCCCCAAGACTATAAACACTTAGCTATGATCCTTAGTCCAAACGAGAATTCCAATTTGTAATCTATTGGCTTGGAATTGTGGTCTTTCTTTATTGCTGTTATTTTTTTAATCAATTTTTGATGCTTTCAGTTAGATGACTCAAATATCAACAAAATCTTTCCTTGGTGATGTCAAAAGCTTCTCCAAGAAGCCTGCCAGCCCTCCCTCTTTCCCCCTGACACTCCATTCCCCTGCTCAGGGACTGTCACTTTCTCATAAGTTCTCTCCCCCAGGGCCCAGGAAGAGACTCGAGTGACGGAGATGCTCAGTCAGTGCTGGGCACACCGGTCACTTAATCAGACTCACAGGCAGTGCGGAGATATATTGAAAGGGCGAGTGGCCATGTTCTTAGGAGCTATATCTGCTGGAAATTCCGTGTTCTAAGGCAGCTCGAGCTGGACTGGGAGAATGTTCTGTGCGTTCATGGGAGGGAGCCTCTGGGAGGGAAGGGAGCCCTGTTGGAGGAGGCAGTGGAAAGACAGCGAGTCCTCGAGGCTACTGTCTCCTGGCACTGCTGGGCACAGTGCAGGGCCGGGGTGGTTCCTGTCCTGAGTGACTCCCCAGCCTGGGCGCACAGAACTGCACAGTCGGTGGGCTGGAGGGCGAGTTCAGATAAACTTCAAGAGAACACCTTTTTTTTTAATTTAAGTTCTAAAAAAAGCAACTCTAGTGAGGTTGAATCACGGGGTGGGTCTTTCTTTTCTGAAAGAAGAAAGACATTTCAATTTTATATTTGGTGGTTGAAAGGCCTGGGTCTTTTCGGCTAGCAGGGAGCATGGCTGCAGGGGACAGTTAGTTTTTCACTGTGGAGAGTGTGACATGAAGATGTAACATTGTAACTTTAAAAAAGCAAATTTTTTCTGTTGTTGGTTTTCTGTCTTCACAAAAACTCTTAGAGCTTTGCTGCATTTAGAAAGAAAAAGTAAAAATATCAGGCATCTTATTCACCATGGCCACAGAAGTGGAGACCTTGCTCTATGGACTGGGTGCTTAATCGTGTGCGAAGGCTAACAAAAAATAGACAAGACAACAGAAAAGTAAACTGAGCAAACATTGCCCCTCGGGAGACAGGCTCGGCCTAGAGGGGCACAGAGTGAAAGTTTGCCAGTTTATTGAAAGATGTGAGCTCTGCTTGTGGCCTGAGAGTGAAGGGAGGTGCCGTCTAGGCCCGGGGGCTGGGTGTCCACCTCCCTGCTCCTTTCCCAGGACAGGATTGTCCTCTGCCGTTCCTCCACCCCTCAGCCGTTTAGTGAAGACCTGCTGGCTGAATGAATTTTCAGCCGTTTGGATTATGTTTGTGTTAATCGTCTGAAGATGTCACCAGCCACCGTCGGTGTGAGCAAGGCAGTAAGGCATCATCCTTCAGAAAGGTTGATCCAGACGTGGGAGGTGTTGAGTGAGGCCTCACCTACTGCCGACCTGCAGCAAGGCTGTGGTCCAGCAAGACGGGACCCAGGACGGGACCCAGGACGGGACCCAGGACAGAGTCCCACAGGACAATCGGGCTGGCCCTCAGATGGCCCCCTCTGGGGGGCATTGCCTGCGTGGCCTCAGCTGGCCAGCTCTCCAGCCGGGTCTCCCGGGGCCTCAGCTCTCCCGGGGCCTCAGCGCCCTCAGCAGCAGGCCGTTGAGGGTGCAGCGAGAGTGAGCGGCTACCCGGAGCAGCGCACCGTCAGCTCGGTGGCCCAGCGATGCAGTGGAGGGCGCGGTGCCTTTCTCTCCCTTGTTCAGTCTTTCTTCTCCTGCGTCTTTGTTCTTCTCGGATGGAGTCTCTGCCGCTGTCCCAGTCGATCAGTCCCCTGGTGTAGATGGTCCACTGTGTGCACAGGAACTCGCAGTGGTCAGCCCGGCACCGCCCTCCGCACGCGCTCCACGGCATCCACAGCACTCTGCTGTCCCTCAGCTCTGGGTCTGCTCGGCCCGGGGCCTGGGGCTCCCCAAGGGCATCCGCTCACCCAGGCTGGCTGGCCCTCCTCACTCCCGCCTGGTCCTCCTTCCTCCTCTCCGGCTCTGAGTCTGCGTTCCTTTCCAACAGCGCTGCTCCACGAAGCTCGCTGCTCCCCGTCCTGTGTCCTCAGTATCCTGTGTCCATCCTGGGAGGCTGCGCAGGGGGCAGAAGGAGCATCAGCTCGGGTGGTGGCAGGAGGAGAGAGATCTGGCTGGTTCCTCCCCCCACCCACCTGTTCTGTGTGCCGGTGACAAGGGGGGACAGTGACAGGACTGGAAGATTTCTGGTTCCCAGATATGTCCTAATATCCCCTGGACGACCTGTGCCCCCAGGCTGGGCTGTGGCCTGACTTCTATGTGGTGACAAATGGCTGGCAGTCGCTGGCACACACCCCACCGCCCTCTTCTACAAGGGTCCTCTGCCGTCCTCGCCCTACTGGCTCCAAGCCTCCTGGTCCTCCTGGTCCTCAGACGGGCCAGGGCCTGTCTCCCCCACAGCCTTGGCTGGTGGCCTCCCTGGGTCCTGCTGGGCTGGGTGGCTCCTGTTCTCTCGTTAACCAGGACGCACTGTCACTGGGCCCTTGGCTGTGCAGGGTCTATTAGGGTCTCTCTCTACTGGGGTCAAGTCTGTGGCAGCAGAACACACACCCTTCACTTGTGTGTCCCCTGTGTCCCAAGGTGTGCCAAGCAGCACCAGCCGAGGTTATCTGAGGCGCTCTCCGCTGGCCTGGTGGGTGCGCGGTGGGCATGGAGGCAGAGCTGGCCTTCCTCTTCCCTCACAGGCCTGCCTCGCAGGGCAGATCACCGCGCCTCTGCAGTGTGCCCTCTGATGGCAGGTGACTCTTTCCAGCTTGTGTTCTTGGTAGCTTCTGTGTTGTGATGGCGCCATGTGCCTGGGGCACGAGGCCCGGCTCCTCTAGAGCACCTTCACATGGTGGACCTTCACAACAGGAAACCACACCTACGGGTGCCTGGAACACGCCAGCCAGGCAGCGGGCTTCTCACAGGGGGATCCTGAGGCCGGAATCACCACCTCCCTGAGAAGGCCACAGCCCCCAGCTCCTGCCGGGCCAGTACCTCCCTCCCGGGCCTGGGCTTCCTTCTGGAGAGGCTGCTCGCCCTTGGGAAATTCAGTCCTGCTTCTCAACAAACCGACATTTCATTTTCTTGGACAGAGAATGAAGAGCAGGACTTTGTTCGAGTTTATTTTCCTTTTTCCCCTTTGTTTCTAAAAATGAATATTAAATATGCAGTTTAAATTGTTTTTAAAATTTGCAGTTTTGAGCAACGTGTATGCTGTTGGGTGGGGAGAGAAGTCGGGTTCAGGAACCATCCGGAAGGTTTGGGATGTGGTGGTTGCCTGCTCATCTGCCCCTGCCCTTCCACATGAATCCGCGAGCTCTAGAATTCCGCTCTAGAATCAGGCTGTGTCAGTTCAGGTGTTGGTGTCATTACTCTGGTAAACATCACAGCCTCAGACTGAAATGTCGGCATCGGCTTCTTTGAGTATTTAGGAGAATCATCGATTCATATTGAGCATTTTGTAGAAAATCACCTATTTTAATCAAAAATTCTCAGATGTTACTTTGTCCTGAAAATTGCTGAACCCGTTCTTCCAGTAATAGTCGTTCAAACAAAATAGCTCAAACGAAATTGATGTAATTGGAAGTTTAAGAAAAGATTGCTAACTTAGAAAAGTGTGTTTTAAATATATGAACTAGAGACAAACGCTGAGGGTATTATGTATTTTATTCTGAAAGGGCTATAAGATTTTAAAAGAAAGTGTTTCAGTTTCATTTCATAATTAATATCTTTCTAGTATCTACGGAACACCGGCTTCCCCTTGCTGAGGAGAGCCCCTGGGGTCCTGTGTTCTAATGGTCATCTCTGGTGTGTGGTCCGCTTCTCGCCCCTTCTTAAGCCTCAGCGGGGGAAGAGAATGTGACCTGATCCTGTGACTATGGTTAGATACCAACAAGGACCCATTTTCTGCTGTCACTTACAGCAATTAAGAGGATGGTTTTTCTGGGGAGCTGGGGTGTGGTGGAGGGGAGTGCAGGAGGAGCTGGGGGGCTGGAGCCCCGGGTCACGTTTCGGTCCCAGGAGGCTGGTGTCTGAAGGCATCAGGAAGCCAGGTGGACTCCCAATGAAAGATGATGAAGACGAGCCCTAAACAGGGCTTCCTGTTTGCTCAAACCCCCACCCAGGAGAAAATCACTCCCAGGCCCGCACTCTCTGCTTATGTATTCTCTTTTCAGATTGTCACCAGACGGCTCAGTTTGCTCCTGGCATCTCAGTCACAGCTGAAAAGGAGAAAGCCAGAGAACGCAGTGGACCCTCAAAAGGACTCTGAGAGGGGACAGACCTCGGGAGCTGACCTCTGCTGCTCGACCCTCTCTCTAGAAAGCGTGCTACCCCCTGCATCCTGTGCTGTGTCCTCGCTCTGGGGACAGGTTTGTCTGGGTGGCTGTGAGGAATCTAAAAGGAAACATGGCTCTGTCCCTGGACTCCTGCTTCCCAGGTGGGCAGCCAGAGGACACGGAGGTGCAAACGTGGGTCGCAAGGGCAGCCGCTCCGAGGGAGGGTACGTGTCCCCTCCAAGTGAGCACTCGCCGTGTCTTATGGGTGTTTTAGATATTAATGAGCAGACGGAGGAGGAAGAAGGACAGGAAGGTCTTCACACATCCCTAGGAATCTCCAAACCGCGCTGGGCCAGCCGTTAAAACACAAGCAGAACACGAAAGAGTTCCCAGCTTTTATGCAAGAAAAGGTTGATTTACAGAGTTGGGTGAAATGGCACCAAACTATTGGGTTATTACTGCTTTTTTCTTCTATTCCTTATATTACAGACCTTAGGACATGTGATTAAAAAATGTTTAAAAAGGAAAACAGTAAGGCTTGACACCCAGAATAATTGATTTTTAGAACTGATAGGTGGAATTATGAGAAATGAGAGACTTAAATTATTAAAATAAGTGTAAATTCTGTGATCGATGCAAATAATTTCAACACCAGTAATGCAAAGTACACTATCAGTGCCGAAGGCTCACCTGCGTGGAACCTTCCCTGACCTCTGCTCCCCTGTGTCCTTAGCCATGTCTGGGAACGGGCCAGGGACACGGGAGGATGCCATTCACAGAGTGAGAGACTGGGTAAAGCCATCCCCCAGAGTGACTCCAGGCCCCTGGTTGGACTTCCCTCTGAAGCACCTGCTCCTTCCTCCTTGCTCTGCATCCTCTCCTGCCTTCCTTTCTTTTCCCTCTCTCATTCCCACCTCTGTCCCCCCCTTGGTTTTTAACCCTTTCTTCACTTTCTCATAACTCACCCCTGGGTCTGTGGATCGTCTTGTCGGGTGACGCACTGAAAACCTCTGCTGCTGCTGTTCTCAGAATCTAAGGCGTGGGACTCGGAAGGTCCCCGATTCACAGTCTGATGCAGATATGAACAGGTGAGATGCAGGAACTCGGTCTGAGTAAATGTCACTGAACTGTGACACAACTCTTCTCCACGGAAGAAGAAAAAAGGGTACGAAGGAATGACATTGATTGTACACACACTCATGCAGGCATGTGTGGACACACACACACACACACACACACACACACCTGTATTTCCCTTAGTGAGGACCCCATGTTTAGTCATGTTGGAAAGAAGCCCAGCACACCTCAGTTCTTTTCCATCAATTTGGGTCGACCTACAGTGGCAGAATGTTCTGAAGTCTTAGCTACTGAGAGGTTCATGTGTTCTCTCAAGAAGTCTCTGAATTGGGGATGAGTATCTAGAATATAGAAAGAACTGAAAAATCAAACAACCCAATTATTAAATGGGAGTATAAATTCCTCAAAACAAGAAATACAAATGAGCAACAAATATATGAAAAAGTGTTTACCATAATTAGCAATTAGGGAAAAGCAATTCAGAACCGTGCTGAGATTTCATCTCACACCAGTCAGAATGGCAGTCATTAAGAAAAGAAAAATGCTGGAGAGGACGTGGAGACAAAGGAGCACTGTCACACTGCTGGTGGGACTGTCAATCCATACAGCCACCATGGAAATCCGCATGGGGTTCCTCAGAAGTCTAGGCATAGAACCACCATGGACCCAGCTGTCCTGCTCCTCAGTATTTATCCTGAAGAGTCGAAGTCTCAGTGATTCGTCACACCCCTGTTTACAGCAGCTCAATGCACAAGGGCCCACCATGGGGCCAGCCTAGGTGTCCACCAGTGGATGAATCCATTAAGAAAGTGTGGCCTATATACACAGTGGAGTTTTACTCAGTTAAAAAGAATTAAACATCATTTGCATGGAAAATGGATGGAACTTGAGAACATTATGTTAAGCTAAATAAAACCCAAATTCAGAAGTTCTTTTTTTTTTTTTTGTACCAGGGACTGAACCCAGGGGTGCTTAACCACTGAGCACATCCCTAGCCCTTTTTAATTTTGTATTTTGACAGAGTCTCACCAAGTTGCTGAGACTGGCCTTGAACTTGAGATCCTCCTGCCGTAGCTCCTGAGTTGCTGGGGTTCAGGTGTGTGTCACCGTGTCTAGCAGGTCATATGTTTTCCCTCCTGTGTGGACGCTAGAGAGGAAAAAGGAAAAGAAAGCTGGGGATCTCATGAAAATGGAAGGGAGATCTGAGAAGGAACCAGGGAGTGGGGGTGGGGGAAGTGATGGGAAGGGAGGTTGGCCAGGTGATGTTGTTCTATTGTGTCATACACACATGTGTGACAACAAATCTTACTATATGCACAACTATAATGCACCCATAAAAATGTTACCAATCCCTGAAAACAACAATGACAAAGAAGTCTCTGTATTGGGCAGGAAAGTAGCTCCGTGGTCATGGTGGAACTCCTGCCCAGCAGGCACAGGCTCTGAACTCAATCCTTACTACTGGGGAAAAACAAAAACAGAGCTCTCTGCGGAACACAGCACTGTCTTTACAGTTTGGAGTGTTGGTGGGACCGGGTCATGATCAATTAGGCCCTTGAACTGGATGCTCTGAGGGGCTCCCTGTCCTTTAAAATGCTCAGACTTGTTATCTTCAAAAAGAAGCAGGATCAGGAGGAAGCCAGGCCGCAAGTGCAGAGTAACAATTCCACCTGGAATCAAGCTCCGTGTGGCTGTAGGTGCACTTCAAGAGAGGGATTGCCTTGAACAGACAGAGAAAACTCATACTGCTCTCTTTATCCCCTTAGTGCTCCCAAAGCCTTGTTGGACCGCTGATTACAGAACAACTTGGCATGCGTCAGTTGAGGTCCATCATCTCAAATCGTGAAAACACTTAGACTCAGGATCCAGAATGAAACTGTCTGGCGGAGTGAGCGTCAGCACCTGACCCTCACCGTCAGCTCAAGGATGTGGTCAGTGTGGAATCCTGTGACCATCGATCTCCCTTCTGGCCATCTGAGTAGTTTACCTAGTGAGGTTAAGAAATGCACAAGGATGTTTTTTGATCAGACAGTCAGCAGCACCTACTGCAGGTTCATTAGGGGACATGTGTCCAACCTACCTCTGCCATCTCCCTGGGCTGCTTAGGAGACAAGGAAGGAGGGGTATCGCATCCTTAGAACATAGCTAAGCTTTCAGCTAGTTTCTGTGTACTGGAGTCCACGTATACCTTTACTTAAAAAAACTGTGCTGCTGAAATTATTTAAAAATTCACCATGGTGAATGAAAGTTTGATACTATGGCAAATGTTCATTCATATAAGCTGAGACAAGAAGACTATAAAACCAGAAGATAGAATGAAACGAGTTCTGTAAACCCATGACAAGAAAAGCAAACCAAGGCCAGAATCCCTGGAAAGGCAAAAGAGCTATCTGTGGTCTCTGTGTGTGCACGTGTGTGCCCTAACCCTACCTTCCCCAAAAATCCAGCCCAAATGTGAACTATTTGCTCTGCTCTGTCTGGCTCAGTGCATAAAGGCTACAGGAAGAGAGTGTACTTATTGCTCAAGATAATGATAATTTATATTAAAAACTAAATGCAGGCATGTGAGCAGGAAGGGGAAATTGCGTCATTAATTACCTGGTTATCTTATCGGGCTGGAGTTCTGGGTTTTCTGGAATGCAGAGCGGCTGCAGGAGCCTTGCTGAGGGCTCAGGAGGCAGCCAGTGCAGTGGGGCTGCAGCCCCTTGGCTCTGCATTCTGCCGGGAGCAGCCCCGCCCCAGGCCCTGCGCACACCCTCTGTCTAGAGCCTGGTTCCAAACTTCCTCAGGGAGGCCGACTCCTGAGATCTGGAGGGGACCTAGGAAGAGGTGCTGCTGGTTGCAGTGGTTTCCCTCTGGGGAAGAATGGACAGTTCCAGAGCCCTTCGTCCAGCCCACCAGGCTGCTCAGTGCCCCTTGCCGGCCAGACTCTCTTGTCTTGTCCTTTGCAGAAATAAGCTATAGAAGTATGTAATTCTGGTGAAATATGAATTTATGTTGGAAAAGGAAAGCAAATAACAAGAACACAAAGTGCGGTGTGTGCAACCATGTATTCAATATTAAAAATATTTTTATTCCTTTCAACTAGGACAAAATAAATTCATTGTATGGAAAATGTTTATTTTTCTAATTTAAGTGCAGATTCGGATCTTAATTCTGTTATTATTTTGTTTTTCCTGGAATGTCTATGCTCAGAACCCAATTTCTGTTTCTTGATCTTCTAAAGACAAGCACATGTGTGGCAAATGTGTCTACATGACTTATTACAGGGATTCACACCTATGCCTTCGTTTCGTCACATGAAACCCTGTGGCACAGGTTGGGCACAGGAGGAGAGTAGAGAGTCAAACGAGCGGAAACAGGCTAGGCCACTTGACCACCAACAACACCGCTCTAGGTGGCCTGGCTCCTGACCTGGTGGCCTGAGGCTGAGCGGGCCGGCTCCTGCTTCCCCCACCCTGTACCTCAGCCCCTGTGTGGCCACCTGCATTCTTCCCCCCTCTCCCAGTAGTGCCATGTTTGGTGGCAACTGAGGAACCTCTTTTTATAAACCGTGAGGAGTTCCTTCTTTTCCCAGCCCCTTCTTCAGACACCAAGTAGAGGCCCAGGCGCCAAAGCAGACCCCGGCTTCAGGCCAGCGCTTCCACCTGCGTGGAACCTTCCCTGACCTCTGCTCCCCTGTGTCCTTAGCCATGTCTGGGAACGGGCCAGGGACACGGGAGGATGCCATTCACAGAGTGAGAGACTGGGTAAAGCCATCCCCCAGAGTGACTCCAGGCCCCTGGTTGGACTTCCCTCTGAAGCACCTGCTCCTTCCTCCTTGCTCTGCATCCTCTCCTGCCTTCCTTTCTTTTCCCTCTCTCATTCCCACCTCTGTCCCCCCCTTGGTTTTTAACCCTTTCTTCACTTTCTCATAACTCACCCCTGGGTCTGTGGATCGTCTTGTCGGGTGACGCACTGAAAACCTCTGCTGCTGCTGTTCTCAGAATCTAAGGCGTGGGACTCGGAAGGTCCCCGATTCACAGTCTGATGCAGATATGAACAGGTGAGATGCAGGAACTCGGTCTGAGTAAATGTCACTGAACTGTGACACAACTCTTCTCCACGGAAGAAGAAAAAAGGGTACGAAGGAATGACATTGATTGTACACACACTCATGCAGGCATGTGTGGACACACACACACACACACACACACACACCTGTATTTCCCTTAGTGAGGACCCCATGTTTAGTCATGTTGGAAAGAAGCCCAGCACACCTCAGTTCTTTTCCATCAATTTGGGTCGACCTACAGTGGCAGAATGTTCTGAAGTCTTAGCTACTGAGAGGTTCATGTGTTCTCTCAAGAAGTCTCTGAATTGGGGATGAGTATCTAGAATATAGAAAGAACTGAAAAATCAAACAACCCAATTATTAAATGGGAGTATAAATTCCTCAAAACAAGAAATACAAATGAGCAACAAATATATGAAAAAGTGTTTACCATAATTAGCAATTAGGGAAAAGCAATTCAAAACCGTGCTGAGATTTCATCTCACACCAGTCAGAATGGCAGTCATTAAGAAAAGAAAAATGCTGGAGAGGACGTGGAGACAAAGGAGCACTGTCACACTGCTGGTGGGACTGTCAATCCATACAGCCACCATGGAAATCCGCATGGGGTTCCTCAGAAGTCTAGGCATAGAACCACCATGGACCCAGCTGTCCTGCTCCTCAGTATTTATCCTGAAGAGTCGAAGTCTCAGTGATTCGTCACACCCCTGTTTACAGCAGCTCAATGCACAAGGGCCCACCATGGGGCCAGCCTAGGTGTCCACCAGTGGATGAATCCATTAAGAAAGTGTGGCCTATATACACAGTGGAGTTTTACTCAGTTAAAAAGAATTAAACATCATTTGCATGGAAAATGGATGGAACTTGAGAACATTATGTTAAGCTAAATAAAACCCAAATTCAGAAGTTCTTTTTTTTTTTTTTGTACCAGGGACTGAACCCAGGGGTGCTTAACCACTGAGCACATCCCTAGCCCTTTTTAATTTTGTATTTTGACAGAGTCTCACCAAGTTGCTGAGACTGGCCTTGAACTTGAGATCCTCCTGCCGTAGCTCCTGAGTTGCTGGGGTTCAGGTGTGTGTCACCGTGTCTAGCAGGTCATATGTTTTCCCTCCTGTGTGGACGCTAGAGAGGAAAAAGGAAAAGAAAGCTGGGGATCTCATGAAAATGGAAGGGAGATCTGAGAAGGAACCAGGGAGTGGGGGTGGGGGAAGTGATGGGAAGGGAGGTTGGCCAGGTGATGTTGTTCTATTGTGTCATACACACATGTGTGACAACAAATCTTACTATATGCACAACTATAATGCACCCATAAAAATGTTACCAATCCCTGAAAACAACAATGACAAAGAAGTCTCTGTATTGGGCAGGAAAGTAGCTCCGTGGTCATGGTGGAACTCCTGCCCAGCAGGCACAGGCTCTGAACTCAATCCTTACTACTGGGGAAAAACAAAAACAGAGCTCTCTGCGGAACACAGCACTGTCTTTACAGTTTGGAGTGTTGGTGGGACCGGGTCATGATCAATTAGGCCCTTGAACTGGATGCTCTGAGGGGCTCCCTGTCCTTTAAAATGCTCAGACTTGTTATCTTCAAAAAGAAGCAGGATCAGGAGGAAGCCAGGCCGCAAGTGCAGAGTAACAATTCCACCTGGAATCAAGCTCCGTGTGGCTGTAGGTGCACTTCAAGAGAGGGATTGCCTTGAACAGACAGAGAAAACTCATACTGCTCTCTTTATCCCCTTAGTGCTCCCAAAGCCTTGTTGGACCGCTGATTACAGAACAACTTGGCATGCGTCAGTTGAGGTCCATCATCTCAAATCGTGAAAACACTTAGACTCAGGATCCAGAATGAAACTGTCTGGCGGAGTGAGCGTCAGCACCTGACCCTCACCGTCAGCTCAAGGATGTGGTCAGTGTGGAATCCTGTGACCATCGATCTCCCTTCTGGCCATCTGAGTAGTTTACCTAGTGAGGTTAAGAAATGCACAAGGATGTTTTTTGATCAGACAGTCAGCAGCACCTACTGCAGGTTCATTAGGGGACATGTGTCCAACCTACCTCTGCCATCTCCCTGGGCTGCTTAGGAGACAAGGAAGGAGGGGTATCGCATCCTTAGAACATAGCTAAGCTTTCAGCTAGTTTCTGTGTACTGGAGTCCACGTATACCTTTACTTAAAAAAACTGTGCTGCTGAAATTATTTAAAAATTCACCATGGTGAATGAAAGTTTGATACTATGGCAAATGTTCATTCATATAAGCTGAGACAAGAAGACTATAAAACCAGAAGATAGAATGAAACGAGTTCTGTAAACCCATGACAAGAAAAGCAAACCAAGGCCAGAATCCCTGGAAAGGCAAAAGAGCTATCTGTGGTCTCTGTGTGTGCACGTGTGTGCCCTAACCCTACCTTCCCCAAAAATCCAGCCCAAATGTGAACTATTTGCTCTGCTCTGTCTGGCTCAGTGCATAAAGGCTACAGGAAGAGAGTGTACTTATTGCTCAAGATAATGATAATTTATATTAAAAACTAAATGCAGGCATGTGAGCAGGAAGGGGAAATTGCGTCATTAATTACCTGGTTATCTTATCGGGCTGGAGTTCTGGGTTTTCTGGAATGCAGAGCGGCTGCAGGAGCCTTGCTGAGGGCTCAGGAGGCAGCCAGTGCAGTGGGGCTGCAGCCCCTTGGCTCTGCATTCTGCCGGGAGCAGCCCCGCCCCAGGCCCTGCGCACACCCTCTGTCTAGAGCCTGGTTCCAAACTTCCTCAGGGAGGCCGACTCCTGAGATCTGGAGGGGACCTAGGAAGAGGTGCTGCTGGTTGCAGTGGTTTCCCTCTGGGGAAGAATGGACAGTTCCAGAGCCCTTCGTCCAGCCCACCAGGCTGCTCAGTGCCCCTTGCCGGCCAGACTCTCTTGTCTTGTCCTTTGCAGAAATAAGCTATAGAAGTATGTAATTCTGGTGAAATATGAATTTATGTTGGAAAAGGAAAGCAAATAACAAGAACACAAAGTGCGGTGTGTGCAACCATGTATTCAATATTAAAAATATTTTTATTCCTTTCAACTAGGACAAAATAAATTCATTGTATGGAAAATGTTTATTTTTCTAATTTAAGTGCAGATTCGGATCTTAATTCTGTTATTATTTTGTTTTTCCTGGAATGTCTATGCTCAGAACCCAATTTCTGTTTCTTGATCTTCTAAAGACAAGCACATGTGTGGCAAATGTGTCTACATGACTTATTACAGGGATTCACACCTATGCCTTCGTTTCGTCACATGAAACCCTGTGGCACAGGTTGGGCACAGGAGGAGAGTAGAGAGTCAAACGAGCGGAAACAGGCTAGGCCACTTGACCACCAACAACACCGCTCTAGGTGGCCTGGCTCCTGACCTGGTGGCCTGAGGCTGAGCGGGCCGGCTCCTGCTTCCCCCACCCTGTACCTCAGCCCCTGTGGGGCCACCTGCATTCTTCCCCCCTCTCCCAGTAGTGCCATGTTTGGTGGCAACTGAGGAACCTCTTTTTATAAACCGTGAGGAGTTCCTTCTTTTCCCAGCCCCTTCTTCAGACACCAAGTAGAGGCCCAGGCGCCAAAGCAGACCCCGGCTTCAGGCCAGCGCTCTTTCTGCTCCACTAATTGACATCATTGTCACCAAGAGAAACAGACATTCTGTCTTAAAACACAACTAATCATAGCTGCTTCGGACCCCAAGGGAGGGGAGCGCTTCCTGCTGGAGGTGAGACCTTACATTAGATAACTTCCTGTTGTCTCCTTGGGTGACAAGGTCAGGCACTCTCCCTGCCCGGTGTGTGGTGGTGCCGGGAGGTCTGGGCAGCGAGACCCGAGGCAGAGGGGCACTAGGGAATCACCACCCGAGAGGCCATGGGTTGGGCGAGAGGAAGTATCATAACCGCTATGAATTTGAAGGCCACCACGCCACCGGTGCTGAGTGTCTCCAGGGGCTGCACAGGAAGTGAAGAGAGGGACCGCTGCTACCTCTTCTCTGCATCAGAGGAGTGGAATACAGGTGGCTGGAGGTGAAAGTCCAGATCTCAGCGGCTACAAGAAAACTGGTGTAGGCCATGTAGCATAGGCCACATGGACCTGCACAGAATTTACTAAAGGCAACATCTTTCTGATAGGATGAGCATTTGCCAACATGTTGGGAACACCAAAGTTTATGGCCACATCAGTTGACTTTTTCCTTACAAGAAGAGAGGCAAGAAATGATTCCTGATTACTCTTGCAGAACCTGAGCAGAGGCCATGGACAATCAATGATCTGTTCATCAGTTTTCTATCACCATGACCGAATGCCTGGGGGAAATCAACTTAAAAGAGGAAGGGATTATTTTGGCTTATGATGTCAGAGCTTTCAATCCTAGATTGCGTGGCCCTGTTGTTGCTTTGACCCGGTGGCAGGGCAGCATATCATGTCAGAGCATGGTCCCAGAAGGCTGCTCACCTCTCGGTGCCCAAGAAGGAGAGACAGAGGAAGAGAGAGGAGACAGAGGAGCCAGGGTCCTAACATCCCCTTTAATGGCATGCCCCCAAGGACCTAACTTCCTCCCGCTAAGCCACACCTCCTAAAGGCTGCGTTACCTCCCAACAGCACCAGAGGTTGGCCACCAGGTCTTCAGCACACAGGCCACTGGGGGCCCCTTAAGATCCAAACCATAACGGTATCCTCAAAGGCTGATGGATTTAGGGACTTTAGAAATGGGAACTTTAAGTGTCTGCTGTTTCAACCCCAGGACCCCTTCCTCCTTCTCACTGCTTTTGCAATAAGGGAAACTGAGACCTGGAGATACCGTCTGGTGCAGCCAAGGTCAAACAGCTGGGAGTGGCCACAGGCACAGGGTTAGGGTTTGGCTGGGCTCGGAGCCCACAGTCACGGGTGCTAGCCCCTGATGTATTTCCTCATTCCGTTCACCTTCTCGAACCTCAGTTCTCTCCTGTAAAGTGGGGAAAGTAAAACCACATCTCCCAGAGATATTTAAGGATCAGATGAGTTCATGTGGGTTTGAAACCACAAAGGAACGTTAACACCTTTTATTGGTATTCTTAAAGAAGGCTCTGGTGGTGCCAGCAATCGGGTTATTTTGGCTTCTTTGAACAATTCAGAGAGCTGTAGCAGTGGCATAATTGAGGTGACTTTGCTGTTGGGTGTGGGCAGCCACAGGTATGGACCAGCAGGGACAAGCAGCCTTCTCAGATGGGGTCCTTTGTGTTCTTGGCAGACTTCTAAATAATACATTGGTTTACTTATTTTTTTTTCCTGCAGGAATTAAAATAAGATACAACATTTCTCACGGAAGCCAGGATACATCTAAGTAAATCAAGAAATTCAAACACGTCATCTGTTTTGGCTGGAAGCAAACTCCTGTTATGCTTTCCTGTGCCTCTGACCATCACTTTGCAGGGACTCCTGGCAGGTAGGCTGAGGAAGGCGGGTCCCTGGGTGCTCCCCGGGGGTGTGGGGCCTGGCCCAGCCCTGTTTCCTCCCTCTTCCCTTGTCACTGTAGCTGAAGGGGACCCAGGAGAGCTGATCCTGGGGTAGAGGGAGGAGAAAGCGGGGGTGTGAGTCAGCCCGGCCCCTTCCTATGAGAAAAGGTATCAGGTCATTTTTACCTTTCCAAGCACTTTTTCAGGCCTGTCATATCAAGGCTCCCTCCTCCCTCCCAGCCTCTGTCACATCTTGGCTATTATGGCACCTTTCCAGTGTGGTAAGTTCTTAAAACATGAAACGTTTCATCAACGGATGCAGAAACACACAAAGCTGCGCTTGTTAATGGGGGTTCCGCGTGATGTTCTGATGGACGACTACCTTGTGTAATCGGGAACCTTATCTGGCTCCTCAAATGTCTGTCTTGTCTTGCGTATTATGAGATGGAAAACACATGATCTCTATCTACAGTGACCCTCTGTGCAATCTATAGTCACCCCCTTGTGCAACCCTGCTGTGCTATTTATAGTCACCCTACTGCTCATACCTAGCTGGAACTCGGGGCTCCCTGATCAACCCTCTTAGTACTTTGGTAACCCTAACCCTAACCCTAGCCCTAACTAGAGGAGTTATTTATAATGGTCAGGCTTCGAATTTCATCTTAAGTTGCCTTTTCCATTTTCAAGCTTTTATAGCTTCCAATCTTTCTGAGCCTGCATATTTTAATGAAAGGAAATTTCTTCTGTGAGAATGATATTCTCCAGACACATCCAGCTCCAGGGCCCGAAGAGAATGCAGTCTGTTTTACACCTCGGAGCCCTGAGCACCCCCAGGGTCCAGGAGTGGTGGGGAGACGGACCTTTTGACTCTCATGGACAAGAAGCTGCCCAGGCTGAGGAGGGGGCAGGTTTGCTGGAGGCAGGTGCCCATCAGTGGCTCCCAGGGGTCAGTGTGGCATGAAGCTGGACACTGCTGGACAGTCTGGTCATGAGTTTGGAACAGCTGAAGGACAGATGACTAGTCCTTACAACTCTGCTGGATTCCAGGGGAGTGAGAGACCCCAGATCTCCCAGGCAGCTGGTCAACCCTTTCCTTCCTCATCTCTCCGAAGCTTAGAAAGAAAAGAAACACAATCAAAACAATTTCAAAGCACTGTGAGAAAGAGACAGTTCAGGTGGTACAGTTTCAGAACGTAGTATCAGGCCTTAATTGGTATGTAAATTCCAATCATTGCCATTTTAACTCCAGCCCTTCCCTCTGCCCACCCCGACTTTGAAATTAGCAGGTTGTGCAGATTGTAAGGAGCTCCTCCTGTCGAGGTGGGGCAGCGCTGCATTAGGGATCGCAGCCGGTGACGGCCTGCCCAGGTGTGCTTGCTCGCAGGGTTGGCAGCAGGCCCTTCCGCAGAGGTCATGCTGGCCTTGCTGAGCTGCTCTGAGCACGTTTTGATTCCTGTGGCACCTGGTGTTTCTAACTGTGCCCGGGTTGGTTCTTCTGTTTTCATTTCCTTTTACAACAGAGCTTTCCAGCTCCTGAGGGAACCAGGCACAGAGGCGGAGAGGTGAAGTCCTGAGGGAGTCCCCGCAGGGACCCCTCTGGGCGTGAAGAGCCCCAGCACGGGGCCCCTCTGGGTGCGAAGAGCAGCAGGGAGTCAATCTCCACTTGCTGACTCCATCTTCCCAGTAAGGGAATAACATCAAGATGGGAGGGAGTCGCAGACTTGCTGCAGGGTGAAGGGCGGCTCGGCAGGGGCACTGCCGTGGGTCCCACGAGGAGGGTGGGCTGGAGGCAGCACCGGGCCTCAGATGGGCCACTTCCTCCTTCCTGCTTAGCTGGGCCCTGCAGACCTGCGGTGACACCCCAAGGACCTGGGATCAAATGACAGCTCTGCTGAAGGGTTAAGAGCAACTCTATCCTCTTGGCCCAGGCTTTGGAATTTTCATTAAAATGACCCAAGGAATGGTGAGAGGGATTCAGGCCACGGGGTCCCGTCGCCATGCTAAGACCACCAAAGGTCTCCTGAGAAAAGGCCTTCTCCCTGCCTTCCTCGCGCAGAGTTGTCTTCGAGGTGTGGGAGAGTGAGGAGCGGAGAGTCTTGGGCAGGCAGAGGAGGCAGGACGGCACCGGAGGCTGGCCTCCTTCCACCTGGAGCCTCTGATCCCGACTTCCCCTCTCACCTGCCGGCTTGTGGGCAGGTGCTGGCGCTCCCTCTGCACTTCCTGACGGGTTGTGGGGAAGAGGCCATGTGCACCCAGGGCGGGCCTGGCAGAGCCTGCAGTCCAGCACAGGCGGGCAGGTGGGCTGCAGGACTGAGGCTTAAAAAGGTGGACTAGAGACAAGGAAGACGCCTCAGAGATCTAAGGACACTCCCAGTGGGAGGACTCGGAGACAACTAAATCCAGTGGGGGCTACCAAGATTTTCTGAAAAGAAAATAGATTTTTTTTTTGAGCGATTCTAACGTCTCTGGAGTACTGGGGTGGACTTAGCCAAGGGAGAGAAACTCACGGGAAAGTCCCGTGGGTCACTGATAGATCAATGGACACCGTCCAGGAGAGAGAATCAGAACAGAGCCAGTCAGCAGGGCCCTGCCGGGGAAGCCACACGGATCTCGGGCGGCTTTGTTCATGCCCAGCAAGGGTGGATCTCCACAGCCGCCGGGTCTAGAATCCCTCGTGCCCAGTTCTCAGATCGGAAGGGTCCAGCTTTAGCATGGGAAGGGTCTTCGTCTCCCCTCGGGCTGGAGGGGGAGGAGGGGAGAACCTGTCTTGATGCTCGTGATTGCAGCGCCAGCAGTTCACTCTGGCCCTCCAGATCCTGAAGGACTGCAGGCTGCCAGTGTGGGCATGGTCACTGTGGTCATTACGATGGCTACTGACCACAGGATGACCTCTGCACTAGACAATGACAAGACGCACCCACGTTCTTCCTGGCTTGGGAGACCAACAAGGCCAGCACCTCTCTGATGGCTGAGGCTCTAAAATACGAGGAGAGCTCAGGGCTGCAGAGGCCAGGGTTTCAGCTCCGTGCACCAGAAAGCCAGAGGAAGCCTTTGGTAGAACGGGAGAGCACAGGGACAGAGGTGGCCAGGGAGAGGCCAGAGTCAGGAGCCTCAAATTACCCACAGGTTCTGTGACACATGTTTCTTACAAACAACTTCCCTTTTGCTAAGGTCTGTAGGTTACTCCATCTGCACAGGGAGCCTGGACTGAGGAACATCAGCAAAGCCATGGCTTGGACAGAGAAGACGTAACCGAGACAGAATGAACGATGGTGAGCGTTGGTTACTAACAAGGGGACCGGGGGAAGATGGCTTATGGGTCACTCCTGCCTAAAGCAGAGCTCCCCAGTCTGCACAGAGACGGTTTCGTCTCCAGTTGCAAATCACACTGGCCAGACGCGTGTCCGTTCCGCAGGTCTCACTTGGTGTCTGTCCCTCCCAGGGAATGCTAAATGGCGTCTGGCCCCACGTCCCAGGCAGGTCTGCTGCTGTTCTGAGTCTCTGCTCGGCCCCTTTCGGTTCTGCAGGCTGAGACCAAGGGCGTGTCTGCCCTTTTCTGTAGTAGATGGCACATTGATGACACCCAGGCAAGTACAAGCTGTTCAACCTCCCCTTGGTAACATCACTGGGCTTCCCTTGTCACTTTACCATACTCTGGTAGATTTCCAACTCTCTTAGCCACTAAGTAGCACTGTCCTCCATCACAGGAAGTCACCTGCAAGCCCAGCCAGAGACAAGTGTGGGCAGGTTCTGGATTCAGTAGGATTCTGTGCTGCTGTCAAGTCCAAGGATTCACAGTAGGTTTGTCTTGGGAAGTCCCCTTGGTGAGCACTCCACAACCAGCTGCAGGAGTTGTGTCTGCTGGGCATCATGACAGGCAACAAGGACACCCTGCAGGGACCCTATATTGGCATCATGGCAGAGGGCAAATGGCACTGAAGCAAAGAGAAGCAGAGGGCAAGAGCACACTCGGTGATTTAGTGCATCCAAGACAGTTTTTCAAAAGCATTGACACATGTGACGAGGCTTGATTTAATCAGATGAGAGGAGGGAGAGAGAGGAAGAAAGTGTTTTAGAAAAATGCAGCCGGGCCCAGGTGGGCAAAGGCCCGCCGTCTCTCAGGCCCACCTCATCTCCTTACTCCCCGACCTCTTGGTTCCATTCACAAGCACCCGTGACCACCTCAGGCACTGTCTGCATCCTGGGGGTCGGCCCTCACCCCTGCCCCACCGGGTGTGCCAGGCTACTGCTTCCTGGCTCCGTGCACTTGCTGCCAACCCAGCTCTGAGGTGCCTAAGGAGAAGAGGCGCATGCAGCAGGTGAGGAGGCAGGAGCAGGAGACAGAGGCAGAGGGTCCACACCAGGCTGGGGCCTGGTTAAGGCTGGAGCCTGCTTAAGGCTGGCGTGGTGCATGGAGAGCAGAGGGTGGGTCTGGGATGGTGGTAGTGGAGGGACCCCAGAACTGGTTTTACCAGGCCCCTTTGATGAGTTCAGGTGGCCGTCTTGTTTCTGCTCTTTTTTCCTGTCCTAACAGCAGAAGATTCAGATCTGAGTTTCTGGAAGCGACGTCGATGAGAGTGGAGCACGTCTCCTGGTGTGTCTTTACTCCTCGCCAGCTGGGCACTGAGAAGGCGGGAGACTTGGGTATTCCTATCACATGATCCACTGCCTTTGGGGGCCCACCCCAGCCGGGTGCCTCCAGGAGGACTGTCCGGCCGTCAGCCTTCAGAGAACCTGCATTCTGTGAAAGATCAGAATTCATCTCTGAGAAGCACTAAATCTACGAGGCTGTTCCAAACCTTTCTCGTCTATGTTCTCTTCACAAATAGCTGAGTAGGTTGTTCCCAAACCTGCATGACAGAGGCAGCATGTTGGGTCAGTTCAGGAACTTGACTCCTCTGTCCAAGGAGAAGCTGGTTGGACCTAATCAATCCGGGTCCTTCTCGCTTTCTTCAGCGTCTGTACTTTGTTGTTCTATCTATGGCTTTCTTTCTTTTTTTTTAAGCTGCTAATAGAAGTTTGGTAACTGTTTCACAGGAACTATTTTCATTTGTAAGCATGGTTTTAAGAGTAAAATATGGGACCCCTGCAGTCCTGCTATAATTTTTATTATATTGCAAATGATAAAAGAGGCCAACTAAAGTTTTTTTTTTTCTAGTGGTAATATTAAAATGATTTTTCTTCATAGACAAATTCTAAAGGAGGAATATTTATGTTCTAAGATGGTTTTGAATTCTGGGGCAGTCACATTGCTGAAACAAGCTAAAAAAAAAAATCCCCCCAGGCAGGAAGCCAACTCTGGAAGCGGAACCTGCTGAGTTTCCATCAAACCCACTGACAGGGCGCCCAGGTGGACACCACATGGGATGAAACGTGACTCTGAGCCCCACGTTGACAGCTCCATGTCCACGACCTATTCCTCCTGAATTTGATCTGTGCATCTGGTACCTACCGAAGCCTGCGTTTGTACTGCAGGAGCTTGGATTTCTGTTAGAAGGGTCAGGAGAATGTCCCGCTGGAGAGAGATGGCCAGTGGCAGGAGTATGTGGACAAGGGCCTGTGGCCCTAGATGACCAGGGGCCTTGCTGGAGTATTCGAGGTGGTTTGGGATCCCCACCTCAGAGAACAGGATTAGTGAGGACTAGACTTCCCGGAGCACCAGGGGGGCTCCACTCCCTTAGCTGGAAAAGCCCAGGAAAGTTCTGCCGCTGGAGATGCGGCTAGGTCAGGAGAGATGACCGCACAGTGGGCCTCTGGGTCCAAGCGAGGACAAAGTAGCAATGAGTCATCTGGCAACAAAGACCCAGAAGCAGAGCGCAGAGCCCCGGTGCCTGGTGTGCAGGAAGCTCTACTCGAGGGCTCAGGGTCACTGACATTTTGAGGTTACAGCCTCAGCCTGTTTCAACCTGTTTTCACCAGACGCGCCATCTTAATAACTCCTGAGGCCTGACTGTCCCTGTTGTTGCTTCTGTGAGTGGCGGGGGGCCTTGGGGAGAGCCACCCGTGCCTTAGGCTTGCTGGTGGAAGGCGGGTGTCGTTCAGGGCGGGGAGCAGGACTTGGTCCTGAAGCGTGAGGCAGAGCACGAGTTCTCAGAGGTCCTTGGACTCCACTGCCCAGGGCGCGTCCTCAGGAACGGCTGGTTGGCCTCTTTCTTCTGCTTTGGTTTCCTTCCTCAGGCCGAGTCCTCTCCCTATCCTGCTGTCCTCCAGTGGCACGGGGGTCCGCCCTCACGGGGGCGTGTCCCGTGTCTCTTCCTTCCTTTCCTTCTGTGGTGAGCTCTCCCGGGTTATAGGTCCGGTTTTCCCCGCTGTTTTGCAGATGTCCCTCCATTGGTGACTCACCAACTCTCATGCCTTAGTGTCTCCCCTAAGACATGTTGGACACAGGTGCCTCGCGATGTCCCGAGAGGCAGGCCAGCCATACACAGGCGACGCTCGGAACGCTCCTGCCCCACAGCTCGCACATCAGGGCCCACTTCTTCTCGTCCTGGACAGGAGATGAGCCGTTGAAAATCAGCGCTGCAGCTCTGGGGGGCCACGGGTCTGTGGTGGCTCTTCTGCAGTGTCATGGATTCGGTGGTTTTACTGTCTTTGGACAGACAGGCTCGAGAGCAGGAGTGACCTCAGCTATTAATGCTGTTCATTCGCCATCTACTATCTGTAGTGTAGGACCATGCACATGCTCAGGACTCTCTAGAGAAAACTGACATCTATGTAGCCAGTGGCTGTGGTTGGACACCAAGTGGGATGACGTGCCATCTCGGGGTTTCTGGAGCGTGAGCGCCTCCTGTTGGAAGTGCACTGTGACTTGCCCCATGGCACCTTGTGGAGTGTGGGCCTCACTCACATCTGAGGGCTGAGCCCGCCCTGGGTACCACCCACCCAGCCCTGGGTGTGGAGGGCACTCACTGACCCTGGGCCAGGCTCCCACCCCAGCCTGACCCGGGGGTGCTGGTGAGGTCTGATGGTCCCTGCGCTGCCACTAGGGAGCGCTGCACGGACACAGCTAAGACCTGCCATGGGGCTCTGTGAAGGTGGGGAGTCCCAGGCTGGAGTTGGAAGCTCTCTGAGGAGGTGAGAGAACTGCTGAAGAGCGAGGGGCCTAGGTAGATAAATTCTTTGAGAGAAACCACGGGGATGGTAGCTGTCATTACTGAGTTGCGCTGAGTGTGGCGGTCTGATTACTGAGTGTGGCGGTCTGATTCAGGAGCATTATCTCATTTAACTTCCCAGTTACCCTAAGAAGGGCCTGTTGCCTGGATAAACGTGAGCTGGAGGCTTAGGGTCCCGCAAGCTTCAGGTGGAGCCACTGGGTTTTAATCCAAGGCTGTGTGGGTCCAGAGGCTCTCCTACCTGAATCTTCAGTCTTCCCCTTCCTGTTGTGGAGAGAAAGGACTGAGGTCATCTCCAAAAGAGGACAAAAATACCAGCAGTGGGGCTGCTGACTGACAGGTTCCCCAGGTCTCCTCGTCCTGGTGATTTGAGCAAAGGTCTCCTTTGTAAGCTCTTCTTCAGAAACTGTGGTGCAGAATGTGGGACGGTTTCTGTGAAATTCCCTCCACCCAGAGAAAAGGTCTTTCCCAAGGAAAGAAGTTAAACCAAGGACCGAGTCCATCTGCCTCTTGCTTGATCTTCCCATCAGACGGCCCGGCAGCACCCAAGGCACACGTGTAGGAAGCTCAGCTCAGGCTTGGGACGAGCCACTGGTGACATCACGCCTACCTGAGGGCCAGTGCTTGGTGACAGAGGAAGGACCCTCCCTGGGGCTTGCTGGAGCTGGATGACTGATGGCCTGCACTGGGTGGGAGGAGAAGGAGGTGATCCTGGGGTGAGTATTAGAGATGGAGGGAAAGTCAGTGTGATGAGGGAGGCCAATGGTGCTGGCCAGGTGCAGCCTCCGCAGCCTCTGTAAACAGACAGGGCATCCTCTTAGGGAGGCCCTGCCTGTGGAACCAAGTGGACAGAAGTGCCCACCCTGTGATGACGGGAAGCTGTTGAAGGATGTGGACGTGACAGGGTTGGATTTGCTTTTCAGGGGAATGGACTGTGACTCTGAGAGATCAACGGTTCCTGCTACTGCTTAGCCAGAGGCGCGATGGGGAGGTGCGGGAGCCCGGGAGAGGGGAGGGCGGCACGGCACAGCGTCAGCTCTACTCCATCGTCCCTCCACCTAGACCAAGGTGACTCGGTCAAAACCCAACGCAGGTCCTCATGCATGTTCTGTGGCACCCTGCACTTCGACTTCACTGGGTTTATAATAATCCTGAACTCTAACCCATTCTGTGGAGATTTGTGTGGTCTCTGTCCTGCCGCGGACCTAGGCAGGGGCTTCGCTGCTTTCTACACATGGGACACCCGTGCTCTGGATCAGGGAGGTGGAAACAGCTGGGCAGGAGGGGCACAGCATGAGAGGCCCAAGGGACGGGGCTCTGACAAGAGGCCGAGGAAGCGCAGAGCTGTCACTACCTGGAGGAGGCAGGGCACCCTGCGGCTCCTGGGACAGACAGGTGTGACAGGTGCAGTCTGAGGTGCTGGAGCCCACGTGGGTGCCTGCGCTGCCAGGCCTGGCAGGAGGGGAGCTGAGAGCTGGGGGGAGGTGGGGGAGACCCTGCGCTAGTGCTGTGGGTGGGCGGTGCCGCTGAGGGATGGGGCAAGTGGAGGCCCGGGCTGGGGGAGCAGAGGGGAGAAGAGGCGGGGGGCCCCGGAGCAGAACCGCAGGGATCTTCAGGGCTTCAAAGGCAGGTGGGAGGGTCCTCGAGGGGAACTGAGAAGGTGCCCGCCGAGAGTCCAGAAGAAAGTGACACTTCCAAGACAGAAGAAAGCAAGGGAGTCAAACTGCCAACAGTCTGACGCCGAAGTCTTCAGAGATCTGGCAGCTCAGACCTTGCCGTTGTAACTCTGCAAAAGCCAGATGATGCCCGGTCAGGGAGGAGAGGGGAGAGGCCACCTGGGTGGACATGGCTTTGCCCTGAGCACTCCCTGTGAAGTCGCAGGGACTGTGAGCCCCGTGGGTGGGGGCAGAGCACCCACGGAGGGCTCACAGCTGACCGCATCACACGGCCTTGCTGAAGGGAGGTGGGGACGCTCGTCCTCAGCCTTGCGGGAGAGTTTGGAGCTCGGAGGTTCACAAAGAGGACTTGGGAACCTTCTCAGGAGAGCCCTGAGGTGGCCCTGTGATCATGAAGGAGGCCCTATGATCGTGAAGATATAAGTAGGCCCAGTGTCTTCAGGCGCTAGGGGTGCACTCTCAGGGGCCACCCCGCACATCTCCTGAGGGAGAACGTGGAAGAGGACTCCAGTTGTCACAAGGAATTTAATTTAGGAGTCCAGACTTCCCGATGCCGTGCTGAGTGTTCAGTGGTTAACAACCCTGCCGGAGTTCTCCCCTCCGAGCCTGGGAAACGCAGCTTAGCAGCTGTGCACCAAGACCTTGAAGAGTGAACTTGGGTGATCCTCATGAATCCTGTCTGGGAGTGAGCTGGCCCCTGGCCTGCACCGTCCTGCAGCTGGCCGTGGGCTGTCGCTAGCTCCAGTGACCAAGGGCACACAGGGGCTGTCTGTGAGCCCCAGAGCCTTTCTGCACCTCACATGGGGGCTCAGAGCTTCCTGGGGGCTGCGAGACAGGCCTGAGAGCTGGAGCAATCCACCTGGCGCCGGCTGAGGCCAGGATCCGGAATGTGAGGCGATCTGGACCAAAGCAGGAGCCCAAGTGGAAATCTCAGCACAGTGTGTCCTTGCAAAGTCCGGAGGGAGGCCTGACACCGGCTTCTTTTCCTCTCCGGTGGGTGACCGGTTCACTGTGGGTCATTGTGCTGCCTGGGGAGCCCCTGCCCAGTCCTACCTCCAATGACATTTTTTGATAGGAAAAGAATAAAGTGAAGGATTCCAGCTTCATTCAGACGCTCTTTATCCTCTTCAAACCCATCCTTGCGTAAGACATTTCCTTCATCTTCAAAAGCAGAGATTTTACAAAATGCCTCTACAGCGACACATCACATTTTAAACTTTCATTGGTATTTTAATTATGGTATCTATAAATGTTTGTGGAAATGTATTGGCATCAATATCATGAAACTCACAAAAATGGAAAAAAGAGAGAAACTTTTACTTAATCTACACTTTGTTTTATGGTGGTCACCAAGCTTCAAATTGCGG